ATTTATTGCTTCTTTCACATTTCCATTCACCTTGAAATAAACTTTAGCTTTCAGCTTAAGTTTTTAGCAATAAGCATTCACACTAGCATTTTCGCAGCAAATGCAATTCATCCTGTTCTTTTGTCTTTTAATGATGTGCCACCTATTCACTTTACTACTGTTTAAAGCCTGAAACTGATGAAGCAGGACATTTTTATAAAGGAACCCAGTTTGTAGACTGACTGCAATTTTTATGTGTCATTAATCTCGATTCTGACATTTTCTACTTTGTTTGTCCTCAGAACATGAGGTAAGATGATCTTCTAAAGAGGAGAGGAAATTAAAGTAGCCATTTAAACAGTGAAATAAGAAGGGAAAAAGATAAAAAGGCACGTACAGTGTAGTTTAAGATATTTTAGGAACATATCATTTCTTTGTAAAATGACTGGCAGTTTGGATTTGAGTTAAACCCAGAAATATGGACCATATGTTGAGACACAGCCATGCATGAAACCAGACATGAGGGCAGCAGATTCACTCTGTGGATCATCCTTTAAGTGATTTGGAGTTTGAGCGACAGCTGGAGCCCACACTGAGATGAAGACACAGAACTTCTTGTTAGTGGCTTCAGATTGGAACCAGATGTTGTTAACTGGCTGTCTGGTCTACCTGCCTCACAGTTACTTCCTGTCTGGTGACATCAATCTAAGAGAGGTTTAATTCTGCATCTGAGGCTTTTATCCAAMTAAAACCCTGACAGACTTCTTAATTAATTCAACAGTGTCTAATTAGTGGGTTTATTAGATAAAAATAATCTTTTATAATCTGCAGTCTTCAGATTGATGGTGCTCAGTTAGTTTTTGGTTGCACTGTGGCCAATAAAAGGTTAATTACGCATCACTAACAACCGTTTCCAGTCACGGTATCAGTTTGTTTTGTCTTGTCAGAGACGTCAATCCTCCAGCTGGGACTCCCCCAGACTGACACCCATCTGTTACCCCTCTTCCCTCCCCCCGACCCGACCAACCCTCTGACTCACCTGGGGTCTCTGCTGCCCGGACACGACGCACCGAGGACCGGCGGATGGGACAGGTAAGCCCAGCTGGGATCTCTCTTCACTCCAAAAGTCCCCAAACACTCGCACAATTCCCCGGGTCTGAACAGGTGGGGTGGGTTGTATCCTGAGGCAGCCCCCACCTCTGGTCGTGTCGTGAGGAATGAGAAGCCTGGAAGTGAGAATGACTCAGTTTGTAACCTCTCTGCTTTACGCACCGGTGGAATGAGGAGGCTGAGGGACTGAGTGGAGGGTTTTAGAATGCCTTGAGAAGACCTGTGAGGGGTGGGGGGGTTGGAGACCGCACCCCCTGCTCCTGAAACATCAAGGAGAGCTGGAGGAGCACAGATCTGGATTCTTCCTGTTGGTCCTCATTGTGTTTTTCTCACAGTTAGATCAAAATGATCAACCAGGAAGTGCTCGTCTCTTGACTGATCTCATCTCAAATTCACCAAAATAAAAGACATTTCAGCATCACTGTACTAATCTCCTCTCTCACCTGAAAACCTACAAAAATCTTGCTTTTTAAATGAAATGTCTTGATCAGGAGAACAAAACTCATCCCTCTCAGAACAAAAAGGATTTTAGACAAAAGTCTCTTCTTGTTTATTCTGCAGGCCTCTAAATAAAACCTTCAGATGCTGCTGTCAGGACAACATGTGGGCCAGAAGATTTACTTGTTTGGTGGTAAAAGTCTATTCTCCCTCCTCCCGCTTTGTTTCTCAGACCTTCCAGTGTTTGTGGTGTGAAATACCAGAAGGTCCAAACTCATGCCTCGCTCTCCTTTGACCTTTGACCTCTGATTCTGGCTGCTGCCACCTTGGTGACGGACCATGAAGTCGCACATGCTGACTTAACCTTTTCTGTCCTCAACTCCAGAATCGTGTCTTAAAGCTCCATCAGACAAAATATCTTAACGAACTACTTTGAAGCTAAATTTAGGCTGTAGTTTGAACTTAAACTGGTGCTTGCTAAAACTGCTGGGAAAAAAAATCCCACCGCTGCCAAGTGAAACAGATTAGTCTCCTCTGAGTTGAACACAGGGAGCTTTTTACTTAAGATTTTATAAATACAGAACTAAATAAATACATTTACCCAATAATATGTCTAATATTCTGCACTCATGTTTTACTGTTTTTTAAATTGCAGTTCTCCAATGATATCATTTTGTCAGTGTAGCAAAAGCTACGGATAAAAAGTTACATTTATTTTGAAGCATTTGTTGTTTATTCAGGAGTAAAACTCTACATTTTAAAGGGGCAATATCATGTAAAATCAACTTTTTTGAGTTTTATATCATGTTATAATGTTATATCCTCATAAAAAACACGCCCAAAGCCTTGCTTTGACTCATTCAAGCATGTTTGAAAAATCCTGCAGCATTTTTAGGAAGCCATGCTGAGGAGCAAAACGACAGGTGGGGACCAGAAACGCTTTTGGGTACCAGAAATGTCCCTGGGACGCATCTTTAAGCCAAACTTCCTCATGGCAGCGTGCCCCCCCTCTCCCCCCTCCCCACACACCCCGCCCATGACTCCTGCAAGCTTTCGGGTGAAAGTGAAAGTGAAACCTAACTGTCTGCTGAGCTCTCAACATTAGTTCTCACTCAGTGAAGCTCTGTTCAGATTAAAAATACCTTTTGAGGAAATGTATTTTCAGATGCCAAGTAAACTGCATCATGCCCCCCCCCCCTCCTGCACCGAAATGGACGAGACAGAAGCAAAGCAGGTTCTTAAAGAGACAGAGGTCAATTTCAAGGTGTTTAGAAGAGAAAGTGATGAGAAGATAAGTTTATTTTCTTTTTAAACATAAAAACAGCATTTTAATAACAACTAAAGGTGACACAGATACTTTATTATGGTATAGTATTTAAATATATGCCTGAGAAACACATAATATTGGCCCTTTAAGACTGATCTGAAGATTTTGTCGCATTCTATGACACTCCGGACCTCTTTGTTTTAATTCTGAGTCTGGCTAGTTGTGACTCACGGCGCTCTCGTCCAATCAGGAGGCACGATCCGGGATTTCCAACCTATCAGCTTTTAGGAGGATCAAGGGAAGTAAAGCAAGAAGCTCACACAGAGCAGAGCGTCACCATCCTGCACGCCAAGGTGGCTCAGAAATCCTACGGCAACGAGAAAAGGTCTGATGATTCTTCTGGAGAAAAAATAAACTTCTTCTCCAGTAAATGATGCAGCATCCTTCTCAAACTATTAGATTTAAGACAGGATCTAAACATTTAAGTGTAACATTAAATAATAAAAAAGGCTGCATACCTTTACTGTCACAACTGAATTTATAGAATTTACCTGTGGTGGGCACAGTTCCACTAAAGCACTAATAGGGGAAATAATTCCCTGATTAGTGCTTTAGGGCTTTTGCTATTTTTWAAATTTATTAGTAGATTAGCACTTGCTAAATTTGTTAACAGTAATGTTAACAGCTGAGGGTGAAAGCTGTYGCACATTTTGTTCRTATGTGTGTAACTTATCGACTAAATGACAATATATTAACAATATGGAATGTCAAAGATAAGTATTAAGAGAGCAACATGACAATATGTGACTCATATTGTCTGTTGAAGAATGTTCATGGGTTGACTGGGTTATTTTTGTGCTTTAGAATTAGCTTTTGCTAAAACTTTCAGTGCAAGTGCTTTAGAATTAGGGGACCTAAATATTTGAGTTAGTGCTTTAGAATTAGGGGACCTAAATWTTTGAGTTAGTGCTTTAGAATTAGGGGACCTAAATATTTGAGTTAGTGTTTTAGGGCTAGTGGGACTAATTTTTAGATTAGAGCTGCCCACCACTGGAATTTACATTGTATTTGATTGTTTTTAAAAGATAAAGTTGTTGCTTTTTTCCAAATGTGGTTTCAAACATGGTTTTATGAAAATAAAAACATTAGTTCAATAATTCCAGTGTTTAATTCTGCTGCTTAAACTTCTGCTGCCATCACCTGCAGGTTCTTCTGCCCTCCTCCGTGTGTTTACATCAGAGGACGWGGCTGGAGAGTCATGCAGGACCATTTGAAAGGTAAAATAATGGCAACTCTCAGTATAAAATATTAACTGGAGTTCCATAAATGTGAAGTTGTTTTATTTTTAACCTTCTCACACTTTGTTTTTTAATTTATTCCTTCTGCTTTTCCATTAAAAACTCCATCTCCAGTGGCTGGTTATGGTGATTCTGTGTACAGAATCTGTGGTTACATGTGTTTGGACAGCTCCAGTCAGTCGCAGGCAGACTCATTCAAACTGGTCTTTGATGAGCAGCCAAACTCAAAGGTGAGAAAGGAAACATTATTTATGGTTTATATGTTGTGCATCACGCAGTTTATCCTAATTGTATTAAAAATAACTTTAAATCCCATGTTTGTCTCGTGTTCTCAGTGACTGTCCTTTGTCTCTGCAGCAGCTGTTTGCTAGTGCAAAGTCTCTTTTCATCTCCGATCAGGACAAGAGGAAGCACTTCTGCCTGCTGCTCAGACTGTTTCTGGGCAACAGCCAGGAAGTGGGCTCCTTCCAGAGCAGGATGATCAAAGTTATCTCCAAACCTTCCCAGAAGAGACAGTCTATGAAGAATGCTGACTGTGAGCCACACTTTTTAGTTCCTCAAATCAAATTAATTTTACTTTTATATGAAACATAAATTAATAAATAAGGACTTGAATAAAAAAAGCTGCTGAATATTTAAAGTGACTGTGAGGAGTTTGCGTGTCCTTCTCGTGTTTGCTTGTGTTAGTTTAACGCTGAAAAGGAGATCTGTGATCTAAATGGGATTTGCCTGGTTAAATAAAACTTAATAAAGCCACGTATCAAGTTATAAAATGAACACATTCATATTGAACCAGGCTGAATGGCTGCAGTGTTGTGTAAAGTTTTTACTGCGTGTCTTCATGTGTTTCCAGTGTGCATATCGTCCTGCTCCAGAGTGGCTTTGTTCAACCGTCTGCGCTCTCAGACCGTCAGCACTCGGTACCTCTCAGTGGACAGAGGAGCTTTCATAGCCAGCGCCAGACAGTGGACAGCCTTCACCATCACCATGGGTAAGTGTGTGTGTGTGTGTGTGTGTGTGTGTGTG